GGTTAAGGGGAATTCTAGCTGCAGATGGGACAAGACTCAGGGTCCATCCACATTTGTGTCCATCTCAGAGGGGCTGAGGGTCCCACAGGGGCCTCCCCTCCTCTAACAGAGGAACCCACAGGATCCCCTGGATGGGTCTCCATGTGGGGCTGATGCAGCCCTAAGGCCCTACGGGGACACCAGAGCAAATGACAGGACATAGATGACAAGGATGTGATTCCCCTGTGCTGTGATGGGGAACACAGGGCATTCCGGGGCTCAGACTCCAGGCAGACATGCCATCCCAAGAGCCTCAAGAACTCCTCACAGCCCATCTTCTGAAATCTGGAGACAGAGGCTCCTCCTGAGACAGGGCATCCCCAGAGTGACTTTCTCCCCACACCCGACCAGGTGTCCTCTGGACACCTGTCCTCTCCCTGGGCTCAACCTGCACTGGGTAAGAGCCCGTGTGACACTGGCCGCAGGTCTCGTCTTGCCCTCCAGGGGGAGACATGAGGACGAGGCGCCCTCTGCAGACATCAATTTCATCCTGAACTCCAGCAGACCCTCTGGGATCCGCCCAACTGCCTTCTCTGTCCCCAGCCCCATCTCAGAGCACCCTGCTCTTTTAGGTTCCCTGAGCAGCTCCCCATTCCCTACCTGGCACCACCCATGGGGAAGGTGGGTGACCACAGGAAAGTCAGCAGGCAGAGCACAGAGGCCCCTAGGCCAGTAGGGAGAACACGGACAGGCTCCGAGTCACAGCTCAGCCATTGGACACAGAGAGGGAGGGTCTCCCTGAGACCTTCCCAGGACCAGGGAGCCAGGCTCTGGCCTCTCCTCCCCTTCCCAGGACATGAGGAAACCTCCCCCTTAGCACCAGGAGCTGCAGCTCCTGAGACCCCCGGTCCTGGGTCTCCGTGCCTGGGAGCAGAAACCAGGCTGGTGACGCTGGAGCTAGAGGGGCCCCTCCCCAGGCCTCACTCAGCCGCCCTGTACTCACCCCAGGGCCTTCTCTGTGACCCTCCTGCCTGGAGAGAATCCAGCCTTCCCAGAGCCCTGAGAAACTGGGGAGACCCTGTGCCCAGCCGGGCTCCTGTGTCACAAAGGGAAATCTCCCCTGGGTTTCAGGGTCCAGGTCTCTATGTGTCCCCAAACAGGACACAGCACAGACCTACAATGGGGCAGGAAGTCTCTCTCAGGCACGGGGTCCTCATCAGTCTCGCTCTGGAAAGTGGGCGCTGCAGGCCAGGATGACAGCATCACCTGACAGCTGGGGAGATGCACTCTCGGATTCCCCCCTCACCTGCCGGGTCAGGAGCTGCATGTTCCCAGGACCTGCAGCCCCTCCCAGTGCACAGGAAGGGGTGAGGGGGGAGGCTCCCACCGTCACCATGGGGTCACCTGTCTGGGCATCCCCCTTCCCTGGGCACCCGCTGAAGCAGCATGTCTAAGGCATCACCTGGGCATTCGCGATCTTTACAAAGTTGCACAGGTGATTCTGTGCACAGGTCGGGGGGCAGCCCTGTGACAAGAGTCCTGCCGTGGCCCCCAGGCTCCTGCTCTGAAGGGAGAAGCCAGAAGAGCAGCCCAGAGCTGTGGGGAAACCCTGGACACAGACACTGCCCCCCTAGATTTGTGTTTATCCAAACAATACTTGTGTGTGTGTAGGGTAGTAAATCACAACCTAAGAAGGTAGAAGCCTTAGCAGTCCCCAGTGGCCTGATAAGGGGAAGAGGAAAAAGAGGACCACAGAGGTTAGAAGAAAGGAGGGTCCTGGGAAGAGACCCCGCCCCAAACCATGTGACCCAGCAAAACCTTCCTGCCCCAGGAAGAGGGTTGGCACTGAGCTGAGAGCACCTCAGCCCAGACACTCAACTGCTGGGAGCCTTTCTGGAGCCCTAGCACTTCTCTCAGAGGGAGCTCAGAGCAGGCAGCAGACGCCATGGAGGCCCCCTCAGCCCATGGACGCAGAGGCCGAGGCCCCTGGCAGGGGCTCCTGCTGGCAGGTGAGATGGGCCGTTCCTGGGGTGGAAATATGGGAGAACAGACATTGACTGGGATCTCCTCGGAGGACAGGGTCTGAGAGGGGACAGAGGGCTTCTGTTTGGACCTGAGGAAAGAGGAAAGAAGAGCAGAATAGCATCGGGGGGAGCAGGCGCTCAGTAAGAGAAATTCTCATGATCTGGAAGTGGTGAGAGAGAGAAAAGTCACCATTAATTTCTATTAATGTCGCAGGTAATTCCTCACTGAATAATATTTGAAGGCCGATGATAAAATAACTATTTATGTGAGAGTGACCCCATTATCAAACCTAGTCAAGGTCATGAACATTCTCGACCACCATGCTCAGAAACTGGCAAATAAATACCAGGTCGCGGAGGCCCTGGAGACACTCACACTCACCCACAGGGACTGGCAACCTGTCCCACCACTAGGGGAACAAAGTCCCTGCCCTCATGGAGCTCATGTTCTAAGAGGAGGGAGCTAGACCACAAAGATCTAGAACATGCTGTCAGGTGCTCACAAGTGTTCTGAAGGGCACAGAGCAGGGAAAGGTCACACAGTGAGGACAGAGGGTCTTCAGGGCAGAGAGTCAGGCCGGCATCTCACAAGGATGCCCCAAGGGTGAGCAGGGTCTGAGAGCAGAAGGGGGTGAGGACACACACCTAGGGAAAAGCATTCAAAACAAAGGAAATAATAAGTTTATAGGGGTTGAAGCAAGAGCTGTCATGGTGCTAACCCTGAACCAGTAGGAGACACACCACCCCGCACCTCTCCACACACACACTACGGGTTTGAAGGCTTAAGAGACCGGTTCAGCCTCCAGAGCCTCATCTTTCCATTCCAATACATAGATTCAAATTGATTTGATCGATTTCTAACACTGTGTTTAGTAATAGTGAAAGTGGACGCCCTTGTCTTATACCTGATTTTTAAAAAATATTTATTTATTTATGCATACAAGAACTGGGGTACAGGCCAGAGGTGTGGGGGCTGCGAGGATTCACCAGAGACAGAATGGGGAACAGAACAGGCAGACTGAGTGAAACACACTGCTGAGGGGAGCAGCGGGGAGACAGGAGAGGTCTGCTGAGCCATGTGGGTATCTCCCTGGCCGGGGATCGAACTCGTGCTGCAGTGGTTGTGGATAGCTTCATAGGTTGCGTCTTAACCCCTTGTGCCACCAGGGAGGCCCATTGCACCTGATTTTAGAGGAAGTTTTCAGTTTTTCACCATTGCCTGTGATGTTAGCTGTGGGTTTCTTGTATACGGCCTTTATTATGTTGAGATATGTTCTCTCTACCCCCACATTTTTGAGAGCTTTTATTTTTTTTATCATAAATGGATGTTGAATCTTGTCAAATGCTCTCTCTATGTCTAGCGATATAATGAAATGATTTTTCTCTTTCCTTCTGTTTATATGGTGAATTTACATTGATCAACTTGTGAATGTTCAATAATCCTCCCACTTGGTCATGATGTATAATCCTTTTTTTAAAATTTATTTTTATTTATTTATGCATACAAGAGCTGTGGTGCAGGCCAGAGGGGTGGGAGATGAGAGGATTCACCAGAGAGAGAGTGGGGAGCAGAACAGGCGGATCCACTGAAATACACTGCTGAGGGGAGCAGTGGGCGAGACAGGACAGGTCTGCTGCGCCATGTGGGTTACTCTCTAGCCAGGGATCGAATTCATGCAGCAGTGGCTGACAATAGCTGATAGTGCTAGACTTTAACCCCTGCCACCGGGGAGGCCTAATGTATGATCCTTTTAATGTATTGTTGGAATCAATATGCTAAGATTTTGTGGAGAGTTTTTGTACCTATGTTCATCGGGCGTATTGGTCTATAATTTTCTTTTTTTTTGCCATATCCTTTTCTCCCTTTGGTATCAGAACAATGTCAGCCTCATAAAATGTGTTTGGAAGAGTTTGAGAAGGATAGCTATTAGCTCCTCTTTGAAGGTTTGGTATCACTCATTTGTGAAACTCTCTGGTCCTGGGCTTTTGATTTTTGGTAGACTTTTGGAGCCTGGGGGAGGGTAGACTTTAGATTCTGTTTCAATTTCCTTGCTTGTAATTGATCCGTTCAAGTTTTCAATTTCTTCTTGATTCAAGCTTGGAAGATTCTAAGACTCTAAGAATTTGTTCATTTCTTCTAAAAATGGAATAAAGATATTCATAGTAGTCTCTTATGGCCCTCTTTATTTCTGAGATGTTGTAACCTCTCTTCTTTATTAGTTTTCTATCCTTTTTTCTTAGTGAGCCTTATTTTTTTCTTTTTCTTTTTTTTTAAAATATATTTATACAAGCACTGGGTACAGTCAGAAGCGCAGGAGGGTGAGAGAATTCACCAGAGCCAGAGCGGGGAGCAGAACAGGCAGACTGATGAAGTACACTGCTGAGGGGAGCAGCGGGCGGCAGGAGAGGTCTTTCACGCCATGTGGGACCCTTGCCAGCGGTCGGGGATTGAACCGGTGCTGCAGAGGCTGCAGGCAGCTTCTCAGTCCAGCACTCAACCGCTGCGCCACCGGAGAGACCCGAGCCTTATTTTTTCCAAAGACCCAGCTCTTGGTTTCATTGATCTGGCAGGGGCAGCATGGCTCTGGACTGTTGCCCCAAGAGCACACGCCCCTGGCTTCCAACACGAGAACAAACGTTACGTTAAGCAAAGTAAGTCAGAAGGAGAAAGATAAATATCGAGTGATTTCACTGATATGTGGAATATAGAGAAAGAAGACACAGGAACACAAAAACAACCAAAACAAACCCTAGAAATCTGACTATAGAAGTGCAGCTACCAGAGTGGGAGGCCAAAGGGCCAAAGGGAGGGGGCCCAGTGGAATATTATGGACTTATAATAGGTGCTTTTGTGGTGGATGTGGTATTAGAACTAACACCTGAGGAGGTATGAACCTATACCCCCAAGTTATATACAGTGTTGTAAGCCATTGTTACCTAAATTAAAATAATGCAATAAAAATCCAAATTGATTGATTTCTCTCATTTCCTTCCTAGGCTTGGTCTTGACCTTCTGGACCCTGCCCATCACCACCCAGCCCACTATTGAGTTTGTGCCACCCAGTGCTACAGAAGGAGTGGATGTTTTCCTACTCGCCCGCAATCTACCAGGGCATGCTAATAGCTATGTCTGGTACAAAGGGGAATCTGGGCGGCCCAGTGAACTAGTTGCCTCTTACATAATAGCTACTAATGTGATCACCAAGGGCCCTGAATACAGCAGTGAAATGACAATCTACCCCAATGGATCCCTGCTGATCCAGAAGGTCACTCAGGCGCACAGAGGACCCTACACCCTAGAAGTCACCAAGAACAACTCGCTAACAGAAGAAGTAACTGGACATCTTTCCATTCACCGTGAGTGATGACTTTCTGACCTCTGGATGCTGGTGGGTGAATCTATTTCATATGCACTGGGTGGACAGGTCTGGGTGGTACCTCCCTCTCCCCTACTTCCTTGGAGTCTGAGAATTTAGAACAGGACACAGACAGTGGAGACAAAATTTGTAAGCTCAGAATTCCTTTCCCAGTTGCCAGACTCTGCCACATTCTCTGCAGAGAGAAGGCCCATCCGAAGGAGTCACTGTCTCAGTCCAGAGAAGGAACCAGTCTCATCCAGCCTCCAGGGTCTACATGACCCTGAGCAAGACCCTGCAGGCCTTAGTCAGGGACTGTCTTTGAGGGCCCCAGGGGTCCTCACAGAGAAGCTCAGCCTTGGGCTGCCCCAAGGCTCCTGACTACTGATCCTGGGGGACCTGTCAGGGTTGGGTTTGGACCTCCTGGGAAGGACTGGCTAGGAGTGGTAATGCCCTGGCAGTTGTGAGTCCTGAGGTCCCTGAGCACCTCACCAGGCAGGGCTCAGCCCCCAGAGCCATGTGGGGGCAGGGACAGAGCCTGGTCCTCCACCTGAGATTCAGCAGGAAAGCACAGAAGACAAGGTTCCCAGGCTATCAGCTGACTGCCCTAGGGAGCTAAAAGAGTCCACTAAAAGGCCGGGTCCCCGGGGAGCAACAGAGGAAGGAAGAAGCCCCTGGTAGCTTCTCCTCCATCAGGAACCAGCCCAGGGAGCATCTCCCCTGAGACAAAGAACAACAAACGTTCTTTATTTGGGCAGCTTTTCTGTATAACCTGTAGGTCAATTAATGATGAATAATTTAAGATTAATTCAAGACAATAGAGCAAGCCTGAGTTCACTTATCACTTACCCAGCTTTATGCCGGGGAAACTGAAGCACAGGGAGATTCGGTCACCAGATGAGGGTCCCGCAGACCGTGAGTGACCAGCCCCATTGTTCAGCCTGCCCCACAGCCCAGCCTCTCCCTTACAGGCCTTGTTAGACACATGAGGATCTGAGACCATCCTCAGCTCTGAGGCCGAGGTTCTGGTCTGGGAAATGAGAGTAAACGGAGAATGTTGACTCTAGAACTAATCTACCTGCATCCACAGTCAGTGCTGGGAATGGCCAGGCCCCCCTGACGGGCCCCTCCACATTTCCCTGCACTGAAATCACTTTTTGTTTCTTGGTATGTGGGTGTCACTCCCACTGGTGTAAGATGCAAAGGAATTTGCCTACTCACTCCCTGCCCTATACCTGCACCTGGTATAGGGGGCACAGGCCCACCTTGAACAACCTCTGTTGTTTTTCTTTTGTTGTTTGTTTTTTAAAATTTTATTTATTTATTTATTTTTTATACAAGCACTATGGTACAGTCAAAAGCACGGGAGGGTGAGAGAATTCACCAGAGCCAGAGGGGAGAGCAGAACAGGCAGACTGACGAAGTACACTGCTGAGGGGAGCAGCGGGCGCGGCAGGAGAGGTCTGTTGTGCCACGTGGGACCCTCGCTGGCGGCCGGGGATCGAACCAGCGCTGCAGAGGCTGCGGGCAGCTTTGCAGCCTAGCACTCAACCACTGCGCCACCAGGGGAGACCCCAACCTCTGTTGTTTTTTGATATAGAAGGAAGGAATGAATTGTGATGAATGAAGGAGTGGACAAATGAACCCTCTGCATCTTGGCGGGGTCTGAACGAGTGCAGGGCCTAGCAGACTGAGCCACAGCTGCCCCTGTCTCTCCAGGGTCAGGACCCAAATTCTGTCCTCTCACCACCTCTCCCCACAGCCATGTGTCCTGCTGACTTTGTGGGGGAGGGTTTTCAGGGCTTCACTGGTTCAGAGTTCCTGGTGCCTGGGATCTTTGAAGTCACCTGTAGCCCACTGCTGGTGGCCTAGGACATTTCTGCTCTCTCTGTCCTTTCTGCTCTCTCTGACCTCCATGTCCCTCTCCTGCCTCCATTCCAGCCAGCACTGCCCCTCTCTGCACAGCTTCCTCCACCCTGCGCCTCCCAGACGACCCCTGTGACACCAGTGATGCTAACACTGTCCTGAGTAATAGGGAGGGACATCAAAATTAGTCAGAGCAACAACCCTTGAGACTCTTCCACTGGCCAGTTTCCCAGGAACCAGGACAAAAAGCTTCCATTGTGCCTAGACCCATCTTACCCTCCTTGATGCCCTAAAGTGGAACAGGGCCAAATGACATGAGCTGTCTACACCACATGACATGAGCAGGGACAGTAAGGCAGCATGGGTCTGCAGCCCCCCAAACCTCATGGGCTCCCTCTTGGGCTCCTGATTCACTTCCTGCTCCTACTGTGAGGGTCTTTCTCCTCCCAGGGGGTCCCCAGACCTTCCCAGGGGAACTGGTCAGGCCCTGTGCCCTCTGACTGGTCAGTGCCCACTTCACACACACGGTGTTCATGACAACACCTTGACCACAGAGTGGGTGCCCTGGGAGCTGAGACCCCCCAGCCACGTCCTTTCTGTAAATGCTTCCCATCCTGCAGGATTCATCAAACTGTAGTTCTGTTTCCTGAGGACAAGAGAGAAAAAAACACATCACAGCCCCGTATGGGGCTTCCTCCCCACTCCTGACTGTCCACAGAGCTGCTGACAGGGACTCTGCCCTAAATGTACTGACGCAACAGCATTTCGACTTGTTTGCTGTCTAACAGAAACCCCTTTTGTCTCACAGACCCCTCTTACCTCCTCCTGGTCGATTCTGTCCTGTTAACAGGACTCATATCTCACAACCCACGAGTCACGGTTTCACACCCATGTCAGCATCATCTCATCATGTGGTCCTGGCTGGACTGCAGACCTTGCTCTAAGAGCTTGAGTGGTAGGCCTCCCTGGTGGTGCAAGGGGTTAAGCACTGCACTGTGAAGCAGACTGCAGCCTCTGCAGCATGAGTTCGATCCCTGGGCAGCCTTAGAGAAACCCACATGGTGAGGCAGACCTCTCCTGTCTCGCCCGCTGCTCCCCTCAGCAGTGTATTTCAGTCTGCCTGTTCTGCTCCCCACTCTGTCTCTGGTGAATTCTCTCACACACACACCCATCTCTGGCCTGTACCCCAGCTCTTCTATGCATAAAAAAATAAATCTTTAAAAAAAAAAAAGAGCTTGCGTGCTCTCTAGAGAGAAGCTTCCAGAAACTGGTCTACTAGATCTTTGGGGCTTAAGTAATAACTTTCTCATATTTTCTGACAATTTAACTTCTCCAGTTTCTGTCTCATAGCTGCTAAGCACAAATGAGGCCAGTTTTTTTTTTCCCCAATAAAATTATACCCTTCCCCTTTCTATCAGTCATTGTTCTACATTTGAAAATATTGGTATGTATTTCAGGAAAAAGAATCAAGCGTATTACTCTCAGCAGAGGGAAAAGAGACTTCCAGGTCCAAGGGCAGATTCCATGGTTCTGCTGCTGAAGCCAGCAGCTCCTGCTTCCTCTCTCTGTCTGGATCATTTCTGGTCTTGACTGTGCTCTACCCTTTATGGGGTCGCTGTCTCGTCTCAGTTGTGGTCACTGGACAGACCTGCCCACACCCTGAGTCCTGAGTAGTGGCTAACCGTGGTGTCTCCTGGTCTCCCCCCACGTCAAACCCCCAGACCTTGAACAGGCTGGTCAGAGATGAACTGGTAGGGATGCTGGGGTCTCTGTCTCGTTCTGGTTCCTTCCTTCACCCAACACTGCATAGCAAACACTAAGAAGGTCTGTATTTCCCCCAGACATGGAGCAGGTGGCCTCACACCCTCCTGCATCTGTTTGGAGACACACATCTGCCTTGAGCTTTAAGGATGTAGGTTGGCTGAGTGTTGAGAGGTGCCAACTCTGATGGAAGATGCCTTTGCAGGAATCAAAGCTACCACACAAGGCAAAGTTCTCTCTGTTACCCACACAAAGCGGTTACCCAAACCCCACATCACAAGCAACAACTCCAACCCTGTGGAGCACGAGGACACTGTGGTGTTAACATGTGGACCTGAGACTCCGGATACAACCTTCCTGTGGTCCATCAACAGCCAGAGCCTCCCGGACAGCAACAGGCTGCAGCTGTCCAAGGACAACCGGACCCTCACGCTACTCCGTGTCACCAGGACTGACACGGGGCCCTATGTGTGTGAGACCCGGAACCCAGTGAGTGCCCGCCGCAGCGACCCTCTCAGCCTGAATGTTCTCTGTGAGTAACTCCTGTCCCGACATGGCCGGGCTGCCCCACACCCACACAGCCAGAGCCCAGGCCCCCTCTGGTCCACGTGCACGGCCCTCCCCTGGACATCCCAGCTGGTCATGACTGCCCGTCCCAGGCAAAGCCAGGCAGGCCCAGCCTGAGCCAGGACTAGGACGGGGGCTGCTCCTGGGCTGGGGGCCTCGGGGTCCACAACCTGTGGTGGAGGAGCAGACTCAGGAGCCGACCTTGGGGGTGGTGGTGGGACCATTTCAAACAAGGTGAGATCTGCTGAGAGGGACACTGCTGCCCTTGTACAGCTCAGGAGCTGATGCCATCACGTGTGGCTTTGTTCTCTTTGCTCCAGATGGCCCGGACACCCCCATCATTTTCCCCCCACGATCTTACTACCGTCCAGGGGCAGCGCTCAGCCTCTCCTGCCATGCAGCCTCTAATCCGCCCGCACAGTATTCCTGGCTGATCAATGGGTGGTACCAGCAATCCACACAGGAGCTCTTTATCCCCAACATCTTTGTGAGTGACAGTGGCGCCTACACCTGCCTGGCCCACAACAACGCCACTGGCCTCAACAGCTCCACAGTCAAGAATATCACGGTCTCTGGTAAGCGGCTCCAGGGGCCATCAGCACCATCTCTGGGGTGGAGTCTGTTGGTTTCCGGAAATAAATGGGAAGTTATTTTTTTTGCTTTCCAACTTGTGTCCATGGACACAAAAAAGCCCCAAATCTGTGCCTGAACCCCCCGCCACTGCACCTCTGTGGACCCTTCCTCTCCTTCCTCTCTTACTTCTCATAGCAGAAGAAATGGAATGTGGGAGGAAATTTTCTCCATCCCCAGAGAATTTTTGATGTTACTGTAGATGAAACTGTTTTTTTTAATTTCCTTTTTGGATAGTTTATTGTCGAGTTTAGAAACACGACAGACTTTTTATGTTGATTGAGACCATGCAACTTTGAAGGATTTGTTTATTCAGACAGTTTCTGTGGGATGCTGAGGGTTTTGGGCATATACGTTCATGCCATTGGGAGGAACCCTCACCCTTATCCAACCAGATGCCTTCCTTTTCAGTTTGGATGCATTCTCTCTGTCTCTCTGTCTCTCTGTCTCTCTGTCTCTCTGTCTCTCTCTCTCTCTCTCTCTCTCTGGCCTTGTTATTCTGGCTTGGACATACATACGATGTGAATAAGGGTGCTGCAAATAGCATCCTGACTTCTTCCTGATTTTATTTTTTTTTTAAGATTTATTTATTTATTTATACAAGCACTGGGTACAGTCAGAAGCGCAGGAGGGTGAGAGAATTCACCAGAGCCAGAGTGGGGAGCAGGGCAGGCAGACTGACGAAATACACTGCTGAGGGGAGCAGCAGGCGCAGCAGGAGAGGTCTGCACGCCATGTGGGACCCTCGCCAGTGGCCAGGGATCGAACTGGCACTGCAGTGGTTGCTGGCAGCTTCGCAGCCCAGCACCACTGGGGAGGCCCCTTCCTGATCTTAAAGGAAAAGATTTCAGTATTTCACCACAACTGTGACACTGGACACATGGGCTGAAAGAGGTTTCTGTTGCCGCCAATACTACAGAGATATGCAGGGGGACTAGTCTGGGGTCACCCTGAGGTCAGAAGACGGGGCAGCCCTCATTTTCAGATTACCCCATGAAAGACACTCACCTCCTGCAGAGGTCAGCATCATCCTCTGTGACCTTTGCAGTCTCCTGTGGCCTGTGAGGGGCTGAGACCTGAGGAGGAAGCTTGGCCCAGGCCCCAGGCCCACTCTCACTCAATCTCCTCTGCTGTTTCTCCACAGAGTCAGCGACTCTGCCCTCCATCCAAGCCAGCAAAACCACAGTCACTGAAGATAAAGATGCCGTGATCCTGACTTGCCTCACAGGAGACACTGGGAATTCCGTCCTGTGGCTCCTGAATAACCAGCGTCTGCGGCTCACAGACAGGATGACGCTGTCCCAGGACAGGAGCTCCCTCACCATCAGCCCCGTCAAGAGGGAGGATGTCGGGGAGTACCAGTGTGAAGTCTTGAGGCTGGATATTTCCAGCCAAAGTGACCCCATCACGCTGACTGTGATTAGTGAGTGACCTTTGACCTCTCCTGCTTCCCCCTTGCATGTCTCACTGAGGGTGGGGGATTGGAATGGAAGATCCTTGAGGAGTGGGCATCTCCTCAGAGCCGGTGGGGCAACACGGGGAAGAACCAGAATTAGGCCAATCTTGTTTGTTCTGATGACCCAGCTGTCTGACCTCGGGCAAGACTCATCTTCCTGAGCCTCAGTTTCCCCATCTGCCAAACTGTAATAGAACAGCTGGATCTCAGGCTGTTGAGAGGGTGTTGATTAGGAGCCAATGAGATGAAATCACTTAGGCTCCTGCAGAGTCAGGGTTCAAGGTATGTGATTTTTTTTAATTAACATTGTTTTCATTAACTGAAAGTCAAGCAGAACTTGGTTACAATTTTGTTTTGTCTGTTCTATTCTGTGATCTCTGTAGACTCTTTCAGAATTTTATGTTCAGGTTCTAATTATGGAGCGTGGGGATGACACCCTCTCCCTCCAGGGAAGGAGGACCAGGTGAGGGAATGGAAAGTTCTTCCACGAGCCTGGCACAGGCCAAGCAGGACACATCGGCTCATATTATTATTCCTCGTCAGCGCTGAGGTGATGGTGGGCTCTGCCCTCAGAGACCGTGCACAGTGACGGGACAGGGAAGAGGGACGAGCAGAGTGTGAGAAGAGAGGCCTTGAGGAACATGGCGGGAAGCGGTACGGCTGCGTGTGGGAGAATGTGAGGGGTGCAGCAAGTGCAAGGTCTCGGCTGTGAGAACAGAAGGATGCAGCAGCCGGGAGGGGCGTCTAGACACTCTGAGGACAACACACAACCTCACACAGACCAGTGACCTTTCCTTCCCCTCGCCAGGTCCTTCCTTCAAGGGCCCTGGTGGTTTCCCCTCTAAATGACCTGGGTTTCACCTCTACGTGCTCTTCTGCTTTCAGCAGGAGGTGATGCCACAGGCCTCTCTGCAGGAGCCATCTCTGTCATCGTCATCGGAGTCCTGGTCCTAGTTTTGCAGGTATCTGCCCTGGGTCGGCTCCTGTTGCTCAAATTTGGTAGAAGGTAAGAGGGCATTTCCTGCCCCCAGCCGTGCCCCTGCCTTTTATAAGGGCTGAATCTCTTCCCACGCCCACCCTGTCTTACTCCTCCTCAGCCTGAGGAGTCCCTGGAGTCCAGTCAGGAGCAGAGTGGTCACTGGGGCATCAGTCAGGGGTCCATAGCTAAAGAGGAGTGGGGTGCAACCAGGACCAGCATTGGGGTTTGGGACTCTAGCTTTGTAGTTGGCTGCTTGGAGACAGAGCTGTTAACTCCTGAGAAATGACCCCCTTCTCTGTGCCCTGACATCTGCTCTCTCCCCCTGCCCAGGCTCCCACACCCGGCCCTGCACCAGCTGTTCCCATCTACCATGTGAGTGTGGGTGATGAGTATCCTGGCCCATAGGCCTGAGGGCCCCCAGCTGCCTCTGGTTGTGCTTCATTATAAGGAACAGCAGGAAAAGGGGAACAGGTTGATGTGGGAGAGGCCTGGGGGCAGAAACCCCTCTCAGTCCATCCAGGCCCCCCACAGAGCAGCCCCAGGTGGGCCCAGGGCCTGGCGATGCTGGACATATTCTGAGAAGGTTACAGGAGCTCAGAGGTCTCTCTTTCTTTTACAGGAGTGACAACAACCCGACACAAATAGCTCCTGCTGAATCAATTCCATGGTACAAGTGGCTCCTTAGTTTGTTCCAGGAACTGCTCCATTAGTGCTGTGGCAGGTCCCCTGAGACCCCAGACCCTAGTAGGGTCAGAGCTGGAACCTGAGTCAGAGAACAAGCTCTGAACCATGAGGGTATTCTGAAATATGCCCAGGTCTTTGTCCCACGATTTCTGGAGACCCTAGCAGGCTGCCCTGTGCCCTGAATAGACTAAGGTTCCACCCCCCTGAAAATGTGTGTGTATGGGGTTGGGGGCAGGTTTCCCAGGGGAGTCACCCATCACAGACCACCTGAGGGGGTCTGAATAAAGAAAGCTCCTTTATTTGCTCTTTTTCTCTGAATGGAAACTTCTATATAGAAATTCCCAGGACTTGGGTCCATTCTCTGTGTCTTTTCTAAGTCACCCCACGCCTCTCTCTAGCCCCTGGGATTTAGGAGGGGAGAGCTGGTGTGCAGGTGGGAAGGGATCATGCCAAGAGGAAGGTGAGTTCACAGAACCCTGACCCAGGACCCAGGGCCAAGGCTATGCAGCCCTCCCAGGTTTACCCCTTTGCAAATGTGCACTGGGTCTCAGGAGCTCAGAAGATGGAGCCATCTAATGTCCTCGAAAGATAAGCAAGGAAGGCGCTGCCCTGGGGGTGCACCTCCTGGGTGGGGCTCCCTCATAGACTCTGGGTGTCTGGACCTCCTGCCTCCTCTCCAAGGCTGATAGAGCATTGTCGCCATCACCCGAGGACAGAGATGATTTGCTCGCAACACCTCAGTGCTAGGACAGGGAAACACGAGCATTCTGGGCTTCCCCCCACACTGGAACCTTCCCCCCAAAGCCTCAACAGACCCCTACAATACCAGTATAAAACCTTAAAGACAGAAGCCTCCTCCCGAGGCAACACGTCCCTCCAGTGACATTCTCCTGACACTGGACAGGAGTCCTCTGGACACCCGTGTCATCTCCCTGGCTCAGCCTGCACTGGAGTGGGGGTGAAGCCCAAGACCTTCAAGACAGAGCTTGGTCTCACTGGCCTTCAGCCTGGAGATCAGAGCCACCTCTGACCAGGGCTCAGCGTCGACTTTACCCTCCACAGCCTGGTCAGCATCCCTGACATTGGCCACAAGTCTAGAGAAGAAACCACAGGCCTCTCTGGGGGTGACATCGATGCCGTCATGATTGGGGTCCTGTCTGTAGTTTTGATGGCAGTTAGCCTGGGCTGGGTCCTGTTCCTCAAATTTGGTAGAAGTGTAACAGGGTGGTCCCCAGGAAAGGGGGAGGTTTCAGGTTTCCTGCCCTACCCAAAAAGAGGGTGGAGCTGAGCAGGGAGAGAAGAAGCTGCAGAGGGGACCCTGCAGAAGCAGGATAGAGAGCCTGAAGGAGGCCTGGAAGAGGCACATGGAGCCAAGAGACACGTGAAGAAACTGAGCTTGCATTTTGGTCGTAGGCTGGGTGACACAGATGTGGGTGAGACCCGTGGGGAGGTGACAATGGAAGTTTTTGTCTTGATTTTGATTTTGCTCTTTTCCCTCCAGACTTGTCTGGTTGTTTCTGACCCTTTTCTGTGGGTCCCCACTGGAAGATGCTTTAGACTTGTGGCAGGCTTTGGGGGCTTTTCTCTCTCCCTTTCCAGGCCCCTCAATCCAACCCCTGACCAACCCTTCCCACCTATGAGGTGAGTGTGGGTGATGAGTGTCCTGTCCCTGGGTCCCAGAGGGCCCCAGCTCTGACCCCAGCCACCCCTGGCTGTGCTTCCTTGTCAGGAAATAGCAGTAAAAGGGGAAGGGGTAGGGCTTGAGGAGGGAGGGACCGAGGGGCAGAACCCCCCCCCCTTCCCACTCCCAACACAGCCAGGCACCCCACAGAGCAGCCCTGCCTGGGCCCAGGGCTGGGGGAGATGCTGGTCATGTTCTGAGAAGGTTACAGCAGCTCAGAGGGTTCTTTTCTTTTACAGGAGTTGCATAACCCCAATGCAAACCATTACTGTCACATCAACCACAAAACAGATGTGGCTTCTTAGTTTCTTCTGGGAACTGCTTCTTTAGGACTGTGGGAAGGGGACCCTGAGAACCCAGGCCCAGACCACAGAGGAGGTAGAGTGCGAGCCATAAAATCAGATCTGAGCCCTGAGGATATTTATGTACCTGAGCCCAGCAGTCGGGGCCCCTCCTGGATTTCTTGAGACCCCAACAGGCCACATCAAAGGCTTCAAGGAAAAATGTTAGACCTTTGACCACCTGACGGGGACTGAATAACCTCCCCTTGTTTGCTGGTTTTCTGTAAAGGGGAACTTCTGTACAGAGACTCTCCTGAACCTGGTTTCACTCCTTCCTGAGTCATGCAGGGAAAACACTAAGTCACCCCAAAACCCACCTCTATTTCCCGGAGGTAAGAGCACAGAGCGGAAGTAGGGCAGGATTCCCAGAGGGACCAGCAGAGGTTGCTGCTCAGTCAGCTCAAGGCCCGCCTCTCCCCGCCGAGTCTAATCCAGGGGTGTGACTAAAAGCGCGAGAGGAAAGGCTGCGCAGGTGGATGGTGGAGAGGATAATGAGAGACAGGATGTGGACAGAGCCCGAGGACTTGAATGCTGGACCAGATGTCTTTCTGCTAAGGGCATCCCCATACAGGGGCCTCTGGGATCCACCAGCTTCCAGCACAGAGAGGCCCAGATCTTCTGGGAGGCTGAGGCTGGGCATCCCCAGAGGGAGGAGAGGGAGGCTCAGGCCCAGCACTCCCTGGACATCTGATGTCCACTGACTCAGCACCAACGGGCCGGCTTCGTGGTGAGAGCAAAGGGGAGGGAATGCGACCTGGTCTCCTGAATACTCAGGCTCTGGCAGGACACATGGACGTGTTCCTCCTTCTCCAGAAGTTCTGTGCCGCGCCAGGGTCATGAATATGGCTCCCTACAGGGACAGAAAGAAGCCTTGTATCAGCACACAAGTTTGACTGATGAAATGTTGTTGGGTTAGATGACAGATGATTGTTAACTCTGTTCAGAGTAAAATTATTTGTAACCCCCTGAGAAACAACCCAGGTTCTTTCAGGACAAACTTCTGGGCAGACTCTTCCTTCTGTACATCGCTCCGTGTCCACCAGAGGGCGGCAGAGCACCCACAAGTGGAGCTTCCCTGGGAGCCGCTGACCTGTCCCCCTACCCCCCAGCCTGGCCTACAGCCCAGAGGTCTGACCCTCATGTCACCTCAGCTACAGTCCTCCTCGCGCTCCACTCCCCACACTGGACTCTCGGCCCCTCATCCAGCCAGACGTCTGCCCACCTGATGGCCCATCCTCTGCAGGCAGCTCCTCCCTCACACCCTCCTCCATCTGTAACTGAGTGAATGTCCATTCGCCAACACTCAGGACCCAGGTAGGACACACCCCGGGGGGGCTCTTTGCTTGACTTATAAGTCAACACGTGCATGCTCCAACACTCTTACTTTTCCAGCTTTATTCAAGTCACATCCTGGAACTGCTGGAGGGAAACTCTTGGAGAAGACACATGGAGGGGAGATGTGTAGAGATACTTGGAGCTGAGACTGGGAAAAGAGACTTATGGTAAGAGACACACACGTGGGGAGGCTGCCCTCGGTCCTTGGCAGAGACAGTGACAACTGTTATCTTGGCTTTGTGTTGGATTGTGTAGTGTATTTTGCATTTATTCACTCTCCTTCTGTCCCAGCTTTCTGGGACCTACCTAATCCCTTTCTTGTCAGGAGGCATCTTAGGCTTTTGAGCAAGCTCTCAGGCCTCAATGGCCCCACTTCAAGTCAACCCTGTTTGACTACGCATTTGTCTATGACATGATGAGTAATTTGGAGGGTTTTACTAGGAAGCTATTTTTTTTTTTAAGATTTATTTATTTATGCATACAAGAACTGGGGTACAGGCCAGGGGTACAGGGGGTGAGAGGATTCACCAGAGACAGAGCGGGGAACAGAACCGGCAGACTGACCAAAGTACACTGCTGAGGGGAACAACAGGCGAGTCAAGAGAGGTCTGCTGCACCATGTGGATTGCTCCTTGGCTGGCCGGGAATCAAACTTGTGCTGCAGTGGCTGTGGATAGCTTCATAGGTTGTGTCTTAACCCTTGTGCCACCAGGGAGGCCCAGAAGCTATTATTTTAAATCCTTTCTTCTCCTTACTCTCTCTCTCTCTCTCTCTCTCTCTCTCTCTCTCTCTCTCTCTCTCTCTTTTTCTCTCTTTCTCTCCACCTCCCCCCACATACACTAATTTTATTAAGAATTACACTAAGAGGGCCTCCCCAGTGGCGCAACGTGTTGAATGCTGCACTGTGAAGCTGTTCACAGCCTCTGCAGTGTGGGTTCGATCCTGGCCCGCCAGCGAGAGTCCCACATGGCGCAGCAGACCTCTCCTGTCGTGCCCGCTGCTCCCCTCAGCAGTGTATTTCTGTTGTCTGCCTGTTCTGCTCCCTGCTCTGCCTCTGGTGAATCTTCTCACCCTCCTGCGCCTCTGGCCTGTACCCCAGCTCTTGTATAAAAATATATAACTCTTTAAAAAAAAAAATTACACTAAGAGTGTCCTTTCTTTGCCTTTGTGCATGATGATGTGGAATCCCTTTTACATCATGCACCCTTTAACAGGGGTCCCTGACTGCCCCTCAGTCATATGCTAACAGTGTGAAGCTGATTATTATGTACAATGTCACCAAACATGATATCCATGACATCATACTGTGCAGTTAGTGGGCTTATTTGTTAAAGAAGTTACTGACAGAGATCCCCAAACTTCATCTCTTCACATTTACAAATTCCTGAACTGATTTGCAGTACTGGGGATGGGGAGTTACGGTGCAGGGGGAGGGGAGAGTGGTGTCCCAGACTTCTCACTAAGAGTGCCCAACATGCTCTGCTGAAATTACTTGTCTCCACATCTGCCTACTCCTTTGGTCAGTGCAGAGGGAGCCATCTGCTGTTCATCTCAAAAAAACCCACAACCGACTCTATCAGTTTCTCCAAGAGGACTCAAAGCTGCAGAACTGACCCACCAGTGGAACTGCCTCCACCATTACACAGAGGTGGAAAATCTGAAAGGTGTTACCCACTGGAGTTGATCCAGAACCACACCGTGCTCGCTAGATCCATGCAGATTAGAGCTTCTCAATTGCACAAGGTCAGTTTCTGGTGCTTCAGAAAACACCAGACTCTCCATTACTATGTGTGCCAAAGGCATTATTAGCGCAACTCCATTTTACTTCCACTTTCCAAGTCTCCTATAAGTCTCTCTGACTGGCAGAACCCTAGCTGCAAGGGAGTGGGGAAGTGCAGCTTGAGCTTTCTAGCTTCTGCAGATTGGGAAAG